TTGTGTTTTTTGTTCGTTCACAACATCACACAACCCACGGTGAAGGGAATCTGGACCAGTAATTAGAAGAGCTGTACTGAATATTTTTGGACCTCTAGACGATCAAGAGTGTTCAAATATCGTAAAATATTGCCCAAGCGCATAATAATTAAACAAAAAAAAAAAATATAAGAACATAATTAAATTCAATAATTTTTGATATGCTCTGCTGCGAGGTGAATATTCGTACTTAAAGAAGTGCAAGACATTTAAATCATGTTGGTTAATTGGAATCGGACCTCTGGATTAGAAATGTTCTCTGAGATGGTTTTTTAGTCCACTAAATTCTCGGAATTTCCTTCACATAGCCACCTCTATATGAGAGCTATATATTTTTGTTAGGAAGACTTGCCAACAAATGAGGCGTCTAAAATCCTCAAAATTCCTATAGGTAACCGAACATATAATACGAACATTTTTGGTGGAAAGTAATATCATATTTTGTATTCTTATTAGAACCATGAGGTTGCTCTATAGAAATATATATTTGAATGTTTGTGGGTTAGGTACAGAAGAAGTGGAAGTGGACCGTGAAATATTACAAAATTTGATCCATATCGGACATTCCATTCTTTTGATAGTAAATTAACAAATTGAACTGTGGGGGATGTACCAGAAAAAGTGAACCAATGGGTCCTATCTTGAACGGTTGTTCCAGAAGCCGAGCTTAAAAAAGATTTCCAGGCCTATCAGTCTTATGCGCAGCTCATCCAATTTGAAAGACCATTTTCCGAGATGTTGTCTACTACTTCATCTTTCCATCGGATTCGTGGCCTTTCCCTTCTGCGTGAACTATTACTTGGCTCGCTTTTATATGTCTTTTCAGCTGGGGCATCTTCATCTATTCTCACAAGATGGCCTAGCCAACGTAGTCGCAACAGCTCGATCCGTCTGACTATGTCGATGTCCGAGAATAGATGGTATAGCTCATGGTTCATTCGACGGCGATATTCACAATCGACTCAGATCGGCCCATAGATGATTTTTCTCTCAAACACTCCAAGAGCTGCCTCATCTGCTTTCGCAAGTACCCATGCTTCAAATCCATACAACAGCGAGAAGTGGCCTTGCTTTTGAGTTGCTTACTCAGACCATAGTAGCATCTGTTGGCCAACATGTTTATTATTAGTTTTGTTTGATGTTATTAATTTTGTTAATGGCGGTACCGAGGTATAACAAATCGTTCACTACCTCGAAGCTGTAGTTTTCAAGTTCAACATTTGGTCCGAGTCTACGGGACGTCTTGCGCGTTGATACCATCACCTTGGTCTTTTCGCCATTAACTGCCAGTGCCACTTTGGGAGACTCCTTCTCAATTCGTTCAAAGGTGGCTGTTAATGCTCACAATGTTCGACCCATTATGTCGATGTCGTCGGCGTAGGCGAGTAACATATGCTGTTTCGTGTACAGAGTGCCATTTCCGAATTAGCCTTTGTTTTTTATCGCAGTATTTTTTTACTAAATACAGAAAAAAATTATTCAGATTTTAATAGAACTAATTTTTTATCTCTTATCTAATATTAAAAAGAGAATTTGCTCCTTTTCATTTATGATTTCCAAATTTAATAGAAGGATTATGTACATAATTTGTTTCGATTTTAATAAAAAAACTATTTTATTTTCAAAAATACTAAATTCTTGATATTTCCTCTTATCGACAAAAAAAAAAAAAAACATTTATTTTTTTTTTTCCTTTTCAAAGCTTTTCATACACATTTTCCTAGGGTGCGTCTTCGATTGTTGTTGCAAATGAAGACAAAGTGATAAAAGTTGACGATTACTCCTATCCCCACAACTTCTTTATATCCTGCTGAGTAGAACTAATCGATATGTGTGTTGCTCATGTGGTTTTGTTTTTTTTTATTCAAATAACAAGTCTTGAAGCTACGGTGAAGACGACCGCAAATTCTTGATTTTTATTTTTTTTTATATAAAACCCACCCTTGGTGGGTATAACCAATTCTAGTACTGTGTTGTATCCCGCCGAAGATATGGTTATCAATTTGAATTTAGAACAACACAATTAATTACATTTATCCTGTGTGTGTGTGTGTAAATGAAATAGAAAAACAAATGACTATTTAATGCAAAATAAATAGCGATTTCAGTTTTATTTAAAAATTAAAATATTGTCAATTAACTCTATGAACATGATATACGAGGGCGGTTCGAAAACTTCTTAACCTATCAATGAAAGGGAATAGTTATTTTTTTTTTAAATATTTTTATTTTTCAATATAATTTCTTGAAACTTCATTCACTTAACATATGCAACAATACCATGAAATCGAAATTCGACAACTACAGCCGCGTCTTCACTGACGGCTCTAAGACAAGTGACAAAATCAGCAGTGCCATATGGATTCCATCTTTAGACATTGAAGCGTCTGTTTCATTAGATAAATCTTGCTCGATGCTATTCTTGAGGCCTTGCTATTCACAGACAATTATATCATAATCAAAGACAGTAAATCCGTTCTATTGACTATTGGATCCCATAACAGTAAGAATATCCATCCCTATATGTACAAAATAAAATTTGAGGTGTTTCAACTGACTAGGACTGTGTACGCCCTTCAATTCCTATGGGTGCCAAGTCACTGCGGCATAGACGGCAACGATTATGTTGATTCTATTGCCACCAATCACAAACCTGACAATTATTACCCGGAATTATACTCACCTAACTTACGACAACAAAATAAATCCTCGGCTATAACATCCTGGCAAAATAAATGGAACACAAGTATATTCGGTAGAAGATTTTATTCATTTGCGCCAAAAGTCAACTGCCACCCTTGGTTCCACAAAAACAAATTATCCAGACATGTCGTAACAACAATATCCAGACTAAGGTTTGGTCATAAATATAACCAGTACCAACAGATGCGAATGCGGATACATTCAAACTATGGACCACATCACTTTTGATTACCCGGAGGTCAATATCAACATCAGACATTCCCCTTACCAAAACTTACGAAAACTTGATATTCGTCAGCCATCAATTGATGTCATTCTAAAAGAGAATAATAAGAAATCATTCCTTGCATTATGGAAATACTACAAGGAAGCAGATATAAAAAATTAAAATAACAACGATTCTACAATATACAAAAATTACCAACATAGACTTAGTGTCTCATGTCACTTTAAATTCCAGCCCAATTGTGGTGGAATTGACATATGACAACATATGTCTGAAGAAGAAAATGTATCCAAAACACTTTATACCGCGCTTTTTGTGCTAGGCTATGAAGTTTCCGAACTGCACTAGTAAATGTTATGTTTATAGTATAATAAAAATGTTATTGAACAAACATTTTTATATATTTTTAATATTTTGTATGGCCGCCCTTGGCATCTACCACACATTGTAGAAGTTTTTTTTTCATCGAGTGGACCAACTTTTGCAAGTTATATTTATTTGGAATAATACAGTTTTTAATCATTTTTCATTCAGCAAAGTTTTTAAAATATGCACCAAATTTTCTATTGTTTTAAGATCGGGATTTTAGGTTGGCGTATCCAATATTATTATTTGATCATTAATCATCAAATCATTATTGACATTTTTTCCAAAAATTACTGTTGGGATCAAATCAGCTAAGTATTGCAGGCACCTTCTATTATTATACCGTGTTTTTATATTAAAAACTGTATTTATATAGATTCGTTGCAGGTTTATAGATTTTATGGACCTCGGTATCGCCACAAATAAAACTTATAACATCGGTTGTGAAATTCGGAGAAGGATAGTGTTGGCCAAGATGCTACTATGCAATTCAAAAACAATGCCACCTCACGCCAGACCAAATTAGAGTGTTTGAGAGAAAAATTCTCCCAAAAATGTATGGACCGATGTGCGTTGATGGTGAATATAACCATCAAATGTGAACCATGAATTGTACCATCTATTCTCGGATATAGACATAGACGTTTCGGGCTACAGCGACTACGTTGGCTAGGTCATGTTGTAAAAATGGGTGGAGGATTTCCCAGCACAAAAGGCATATAAATGCGAGCCATCTGATGATTCAGGCAGAAGCGGAAGGCCACGAATTCGTTGGATCAAATATATAGTGGAAGACAATTTTCCCGAACATGGACTTTCAAAATTAGAAGAGCTGTGCACCACCACCTTCATATTTGGTCTTCCAACTTAGAACAATATAAATCCCGTCCCACATTTGAAATTTATACTGTACTCTTGTCCATTCCATTGAAATAATAAGAAATAATAAAACAAACTAAATATTTTTTTCACAAAACTAACATTTATTAACAACAGTTATATATATATATATATAAGGGCGGCCAAATTTTTTGCCGATTATATCCAGCCCTTATGATGATTCCATGGACAATTCTAAGCAACTTTGGTGAAGGAACCATAGGTCTATCTCGATTTTCGAGTCTCCCACTTTTCAAAAAAAGATTTTTCAAAATTCGAATTTTATCGGCTCAGTACAATTTGGGCCGCCCTAATATATATATATATATATATATATTCAAACGTCATTTTTTAAATTGGCACATTTCGAACAATTATGATTTTTTCCCAATAGTATAGTATAAAAAATAAAAATACTCAAATAGCATGGCATATTTACACAAGGTAGTCTCATGCAGACATATGATTCCAATTTTTTCATAATTTTACTTTTGGCAACATTCAGCTTTCAAAATTTAAATGAAAATATCCTCCTTCGAAATGTACGCACAACACGTGTTCAGTGGCAATTATTACAAAATGTTTATTATCTTGAATTTCCCAGCCTCTATAATCTATAAATATATTTTGTAACATCTATAGTTATATCCTAAGAGCAACATTAATAAAAAATGGAGTTATTTAATTACAGAAATTATACATATTATAAACTGTATAAACTTAACTGCCTGCCGCTAATAATTTTAGGGTTAACGATTATAAAAAAAAAACAAGTTGACATTTAAAATTATTTTTTTGTTCCATTACGTAGAGGTGTTTCGTTTCTCATGCTCCTTCCTGTTTCAGCTCGGTCACGACGATCTCCTTCGGCTGGTTTTGATTCGAATGAACGCTTCAAAAGATAACCAACTGATAAGAAAACAATTGTTCCGCCAATCCAGACCCAAGGGTTTGAAATAAGACTATCTGATTCTTCAGCTTGACTCTGCTTCTGAAAATATATCATCAGTATTAAATTAATGTCCCCCTTATTGTGGAAGTCATACTAACCTCTGCTTGGATTCTCCGTGCATCGTATAGTTTACGTTTTTCCGAATCTTCTAGAATATCAGCAGCATTGCGCAATATCTGAAAAGCTTCAAGAGCACCAGGGGCACGATTTTTATCTGGATGTAATTGTAATGCCAGTTTCTTGTAGGCATTCTTAATTTCGGCGTCCGTAGCTGTCTTGTCAACGCCTAAAATTTCATAATAATCGTTGCTATTGTTCACTCTATTAACAGCTTCCAACTGTTCGTTGGTATATTCGGGAGGTTCAGCATTATTAGAAACGTCATTATTACGTTGTTTACGTATTATCGCAATGATACCTGAAAACGAGAAATTGATAATGAAATGTCAATTGTAGGACATAAAATTAGAATATAAATATATTTCCATCTTCGAATTTTACGTCGGTGCATCAAGTGTGGATTCAATGCTCGCACTGCCCTCAAAAAACCACTTGTTTACAAAACAAACAGAAAGAAGCGTATCGATTTTGCAAATGATTATAAAAACAAGACAAATAAGTTCTGGGAAAAAGTTATTTTCTCGGACGAATCGAAATTTAACAATTTTGGGTCGGATGGACGACGCTCTTTGGTGTGGCGAAAAAAAGGCGAAGAGCTCAATCCAAGGAATACTAGGAAAACTGAAAAGCACGGAGGGGGTGGAGTAATGGTATGCGGATGCATGTCAGCAACTGGTGTTGACAATTTGGAATTCATTTTGGGTAATAATGAATAAAACAGTTCTCATGATTATTTTGTAACAAAATTTGAATCAAAGTGCTGAAAAACTGAACATTCGTGATAATTATTACTTCCCACAAGACAATGATCCAAAACACACTGCTATTGACGTTAAGAATTGGATCGTACTCTACCGTTAGCTTTTGCGTGTTCTACTCTTTTGTTTTATATTGGGAATCATTTAAGTGTGCGCAACATACCTTGAAATAAAGTATTAAAAAATGCCAGGCAAAAGGTTATCCTTTGATGTAATTCAGTTGATATATTACAACCGCCAATTGGGAAAAAGTGTGATCGAATTGTCGGAAATGTTTTCAGTTACACGAAAGACAATTTACAATGTATTAAATCGAGCAGAAAACGAGGGAAGATTGGAGTTAAAGCGAGGTGGTGGTCCGAAGCCCAAAATTAATAAGCGTACTGAGCGCATAATTATTAGAAAAATTATGCAAAACCCTCAAATTTCCACTAGGATGCTTGAGAGGGAGCTCGAAGAAGAGTGTGGTGTTAAAGATTGTCACGAAACAGTTCGACAGACAATGTAAAAAACAAAAGTATCACACAAAAAACCCTTACTATCTGCAGCAAATATAGAAAAAAGATTTTCCTTCGTCAATACGAACGTTTCACACCCGACTGAATATTGGGACAACGTTATATTTTGCGATGAAACTAAAATTATGTTATATTATAACGATGGGCCAACCAGAGTATGGCGTAAGCCTTTAACAGCACTAGAAAGGCAAAACATCATTCCAACAGTCCAATTTGGAAAAATGTCAATAATGATTTGGGGTGCATATCAAGCAAAGGCGTGGGAGATTTAGCTGTTATTAAAACATATATGGACGACAACAATATTTAGATATTTTAAAGAAGTACTTGGTAACCAGTGCTGTGAAATTTGGATTCATCAGGGATAACAAGCCACATTTTAAATTTTATCAGGATAATGACCCTAAGCATAAGTCACATATAGTGCGCATGTGGCTTCTTTATGACTGTGGCAAAGTTTTGGATACGCCAGTCCAAACCTTAACCCTATAGAAAATTTGTGGGTCTATTTGAAAAAAAGGTGGCTAAACGGCAACCAAAAAATATAAAAGCATTAAAACTGCAATATTGCATGAGTGGCAGAACATTCCGAACAATTATGACTTGCAAAAGTTTGTCCACTCGATGAAAAAACGTCAGCAATGTGTGATAGATGCAAAGGGAAACCATACATAATATTAAAACTATGGAAATGTGTGTTCAATAATATTATTATTATACTATATACCTTAACATTTACTTCTTGTGAAAAGAGTTAATTGACAATGTTAAAATTGAATATTTTTTGTTTGTTATATTTTTCAAAAAAATAACTTTAATAAAAAATATTTTATTTTAATTTCTAATAAAGTTCAGAAAATTGTGTATTTATTCAATGTGTAAACTCATTCTTGACATACTGTATGTAAATATTGTTGCCACCCAGCACATATATTTCGCCATCAAAAATTATTTGGCAGGAAAAATTGACTGTCTATGAATCTAGTAATTCAAGCAGCGGTGCCAGCGGTTCTTAATAAACAGTTTTGAATTTCACAACACTTAATATTTTTTCTTTTTCCATCTGTGGTAACACAAGACGCTTGTTCTCAATTTCACATTTCCTTTTAAATTTCTGCTACCTCACTCCCTTTCTAAGCACTTTTAATCATACAAATTTATCAAATAATTTTTTTATCAATTTTTCATTACATACCTTTGATATAATCAGTTGGAAATAGTTCATTTGCTTTCACTAAGTTTTCTTCAGTCTTTTCCAAGTCACCGTTCCTGTATGCTTCCTCTGCAATGTGAAAGAAACGCTCAGCTTCGACTTTGTCAGCGTCTGTTATCGGCATATTGTTTCTGGTTCTAAGATTATTATAATATATGATTTGATTGTTAATTTATAGCATGGTTGTGTGTTACTACTTAACTATTGAAATATTGAATGCCAATGTCAATTGTTTGTGCGGGTGTGTGTTAACTTACAATTTCACAATGAAAATCATATATAGTATACATCGTTCATACCTGACGTTGTTTTACTGCTGAATGTAATAAGATATGGAGTTCCAATAAGAATTAAGTTTTCCCAATAATAGATCTCCAAAAAATATATAGTATATCTGGATACACTTTATTTTAATTTGTTTTTCTTGTTGTTTTTGCACTTTCTTATAAGCCGACCGGCCGTTGTGAGTTATTGATAGTGAATAATTGGAAATGAAATGCATTAACGATGTTACCATCTATTGATGTCGATAACTACCTAAACAAAAAGCGTTTATTTCCATGTTGATTTTTTTTGGATTCGATGGCAATGACGTGGTGACATAATAAATCTAAACACTTTGGGCAAAGAAATCTAGTGGATGACTGTTATTTTAAATTATATCAGTTGCATCCATATTTAAATTTAAACCTATTTTAAATGTTAACGTAAACACACCGTATATATAAAGCGTTGCCATTTTGGTACTCTTAAGAAAAATAACGCTTGCTTAAAATTGAATTTTAATTTGTCCATTGTTGAAAACTCCCAGCCTATTTTTATAACTTTGCAAAAGACTTGCAGTCGGAGCTTGGTTCGATAAAAAAAGAATTTACATCGTTATCAAAACGTTTTGAGAATGTTGCCAATTTGTTCGAAAAGTACCAAGAGCTTGATGAATTTGTATCATCACCGTCTGTGTCTGGGCGGAAACGAAAAAGGTCTGCGAAAAAGGCTCCCAATAAAGTTGTGCCTCGTGTCGCAATCCCACAGTTTCTGTTGGGAATACATTGACACAATCACCTTCCGTCAATATCACAGGTACAACGGAAACTGATTGTGTCCAGACTTATGCTACTGTTGCGTCACATTCGGCCTCGGAAATCGTTAAGGATGTGCATGAAGTGATTAATGCAAAATCTGTGAGTATTAGTAGTGCTAGTCTGGAAAAGACTTCAAAACCTGCTCACGGAAATCGGGAATCATCAGTTCAAACATCTAAAGAATTCTCTGATCCTTATATATTCCGATAAAATTGAATCAGTGCAGAAACAATTTCTACTTTTTGCACTGAGAGGTTTACATTGAAATAGTGACTTTGTATTGCATTTTTACACCAGCAGGTTAAAATTAATTCGATTTTATATATTAAAAAGTAGACGTATTATGTTGAACACTATGATCGTAATTAAAATACTAAACGGTAATATACCCTCAGACTTCCTAATTTCGTCCATTAGAATAAATGTTCCTTTTCGATCCAGTAGATTTTCATCGCACAAATTATTCTATGGGAGATCCACTTAGTATAATGTAGTAGACTTTTGCATGAATATAGAACTAATAAAATCTAATATAATTGTATTTTTAAATGAATAGCACAACATAATAAAAAAGCTGGCTGTTGAAGTAGATTTCTATAGCTGGTTTTCTATCCCTTCTCATATTCCGCCATAATGCGGATTATGGTGTGTACGCGATTCCTACGAATGGAGAGGTCGCCCCCTCGGTCGGCAGGGTTGGGAAAGTGAGGCATGGAAATGTTCGATAAAAAAACGTTCGATTGTGAAAATCGACATTCCGAAGCATGTTAAATAAAGTCCTATAGTTCATATAAAATTAATGGATTTCTTTTTCCCAAATTCTTTCAAATAGAATTAAAAAAGTATTTTATTTTTCTTTGGACTGTTTAGCCACTTTTCATTTATTTGCCACAGGTATAAAGAAGCCCCATTCGCACTATGTGTTACTTCTGCTTAGGATCATTATCCTGATAAAATTTAAAATGTGGCTTGTTGCCCCTGATGTCTAATATTCATCGTTCATCGTTGTTTCTATCTGAGCTAAGATCATCACGCCTTTGCTTGATAGACATCCCCAAATCAATAATGACATTTTTCCAAATTTCCTGTTGCGACAATGTCCTATCGACACGAGTATTACCTTCGAATCAAATCAGCTGAGTATTCAAGTTACCTTTTATAATTGTACCATGTTTATATATTAAAAACTGTATTTATGTAGATCAGTAAACAGATTTATAGACTTTATATACCTCGTTACCGGTAATGTCATCGGTTGTGACATTTGGAGAAGAATAACAACAGATTATTTGTTAGTATTGTATGCCCAGTCCTAGAATATGATTGCATTCTTTGGAGTCCGTTTTATAAATGTCACTGTGATAAAATTGAGTCAGTTCAAGTTCGGTTTTTAATATTTGCCTTGCGTGGCCTAAATTGGAACCCATCGTAATTACTTCCACCTTATAAAAGTCGCTTATTGTTAATTAATCTTCCAACACTAGAAAAAAGACGTTTCATGTTAAGAGCATTATTTATTATTAAATTAACACGTGGTCTGATTGATTCACCTTTTCTTACTGGAGAAATAATTTTTAATGTTCCCTCTCGAAGAACACGTAATTTTGAACCGTTGAAATTGTCCATCGCGAGAACTAATTACGAACTAAACAACCCAATGAGGTCCTTATGTGTAATATATAATAGCATAAGTAATGTTATATGCCTAAGTAGTCCATTGCATGCTATCAAGAATTCTATACTGGGCTTGTAAACAGTAGACCCTGAAATTTAAGCAGCAGTTGCCAAATTTTATGTTGTAGCTTTTGTTTACTGTTGTCTGTTTAATGTATCTAATTCTAATTTATATTTGTTGTATTATTACTAATTGCCGGCTGATGATCTATCTGTAGCCGGTGTTGTTAAACCACTACTAACCCGCCTTAGTCCGGTCTTTGGTGTGTACGTGCTCCCTGCGTATAGAGAGGTAGCCCCCTCGGTCGGCAGGGGTGGGTGTGAGAGGCGTGGGATCGCACGAAAAATAAAAAAAAAAACAGATGCTACTATGGTCTGAGTAAGCAATTCAAAAACAAGGTCAAATCAAACTCACACTCTACAAGCCGCAAATAATACCCGTGCTGTTATATGGATCTGAAACATGGATAATTGCGCAAGCAGAAGAGATAGCCCTTGGAGAAAAATTCTCCAAAGGATTTATGGGCCGATCTGAGTTGACGGTGAATATGGCCGTCGAATGAACCATCTACTCTCGGACATAGACTTAGACGTATCGAGCTACAGCGACTACGTTGTCTAGGTCATGTTGTGAGAATGGATGAGGATGTCCCAGCACAGAAGACATATAAAAGCGAGCCAACTGATGGTTCACGCAGAAGGGGAAGGCCACGAATTCGATGGAAATATAAAGTGGAAGGCAACATTTCCGAAAATGGACTTTCAAATTGGAAGAACTGCACACAAAACCGACGCGCCTGGAGATTTTTTTTAAACTCTGCTTGTGGAACAAATGTTCTGTCTCAAGCCAGCTAAGTATGTACGTTTCATGTTTAAATTTAACAGTGATAAGTGCATAAAAAGTATAATTAATTTTTTATATTAAAATGGAATTTCTTCCACATTAGAACAAGAATAGAACCCGTCCCCTTTCAAGAGGTTTGAAATGTATACTGTACTCTATTCCGTTTTCATTGTAATAAAAAGAAATAATAAAACAAACAAAATACATTTTTTTCTGACAGTAAAAACATTTATTACCATGGCATAATTATATATTTATTAACATGACATAATTATACAAGGTAGTCTCATGCAGTCACATGTTTCCAATTCTTTCATAAATTTGCTTATGACAGCATTCAGCTTTCAAAATTTAAATCAACATATCATCCTTCGATATGTACGCATTGGACGTGTTCAGTGGCAAACTCATTTATATTTATTAATATTTTGAAGGTCTATGCCTTTAAAACTTCTAAATATAAGTTGTAACAACCATGGTTAAGTCTTCAGAGCAATGTTCAGCTTTAGAGAATATATTATGTTTAATATATTGACAAAATGCCAATCGACATACATACAATTTTATGGAATTTATTTTTCATTTTATTTGAAATTGATATATGAATTCCATATTAAAAAGGGTAACCATTATCAATTTCTCAAATGAGACTACCTTGCATAATTATGCCATTATTTATTAACAATATATATATATATATATATATATGTATATACTTTCTGACATTTATAAGCGACATTTTTTTAAGTAGGCACAATTTGAATAATTATAATTTTTTGCCAATTGTATAGTTATGAATTTTTCCATTTACCATAAAGATTGACAAACATGTAGGACTTTGGCAACCCAAAAAAAAAAAAAATAAATAAATAAAAATACTCAAAATTATAAAAAAAATTGGTTGAACGTAATGTAATTAATATTTTTCTTAATGAACTCAGAATAATTTATGGACGTCCAGAACATTAGTACAAATTTTTGTATAGACTTAACTGTCTGCCGCACATAATCTTAGGGTTACCAAATTTAATAAGTTGAAATTTATTTTTTTGTTGCATTACGTGGAGTAGTGCCCTTTCTCATGTTACTTCCTGCTCCAGCCCGGTTAGAACGATCTCCTTCGGCTGGGTTCGATTCGAATGAACTCGCCAATAGATAACCGACTGATAGGAAAAGAACCGTTCCTCCAATCCACACCCAAGGATTGGACATAAGACTATCTGATTTTTCCGGATCTCCTTGCTTTCTCTGTGCATCGTATAGTTTACGTTTTTCCAGATCTCGTAGATATTCTTGCTTTCTCTGTGCATCGTATAGTTTACGTTTTTCCAGATCTCGTAGATATTCTTGCTTTCTCTGTGCATCGTATAGTTTACGTTTTTCCAGATCTCGTAGATATTCTTGCTTTCTCTGTGCATCGTATAGTTTACGTTTTTCCTGATCTCCTAGATCTTCTTGCTTTCTCTGTGCATCGCGTAGTTTACGTTTTTCCGGATCTCCTAGATCTTCTTGCTTTCTCTGTGC